GGAGACAGAGTGAGACTCCGATTCTAAATAAATAAACAAACAAATAAATAAATATTTTGAGACAGAGTCTTACTCTGTCACCCAGGGTGGAGGGCACTGGTACAACCATAACTCACTGCAGCCTCAAACTCCTAGGCTCAGGGGATCCTCCTGCCTCGGTATCCTGAGTAACTGGGACTACAGGAGCATACCATCACATCTAGTTAAGTTTTTTTGTTTTGTTTTGTTTTTAATTTATGTGAGACAGGATCTCATTTTTTCCTCAGGCTGGTTTCAAACTCCTATTCTCAAGCAATTCTCCTTCCCTAGCCTCTCAAAGCACTGGAATCACAGGCGTGAGCCACCGTGGCCAGCACTTTTTATGTACTCTTTAGATATAACATATATTTTAAGATAACATACTTTGCTATCTCAATTACACCTATAATTTCAGTGAGACTTGCTACTTCTGCAAAACCCATCATCCGTTTGAAAATTCTATCATCAGCCAGGCTCGGTGGCTCAGCCTGTAATCCCAACACTTTGAGAGGCCGTGGCGAATTGATTGCCTGAGCACACAGGTTTGAGACCCACCTCCCTGGACAACTTGGTGAGACCTCATCTCTACAATAAATCCAGAATTAGCTGGGCTTGGTAGCGGGCACCTGTAGTTCCAGCTCCTTGGGAGGCTGAGGCGGAAGGATCGCCAGAGCCCAGCAGGTCGAGGCTGCAGTGGCCGGGAGCGTGCCACTGCATTCCAGTCTGGGCGACAGAGTGAGACTCCAACTAAAATAAAATAAAATAAAATAAAATTCTATCATCAACAATAGTGTCACAAAATTAGACTACAAACATGTTTGACTACTAACTTCCAATGAAGTGAAAAGTTACATTATTGATGAATAAGAATAGTTCCAACATGAATGTTGGTTGATATTTTTGTTTACTTGAATGAGTTCATTCATCGATGATGTTAGTAACTTCTTTGCTGAATCCAGCAATAGTTTTCAATTATTAAAAGATGATTTCCTTTTCTTTTTATACCATTTACAATATAATAGCTACAGATGTGGCACGCTTTTATGTTTAATCTGCATTATTAACATTTTCTGTGCCTCTTTATTATGCCTAAATAATTAACAACATCATAAATCAATCCACAATTTGTAGTGCATGCCAATTTCCATGGTGTAAATTAAATGCCCTCGTTACAACTGATTGCAGACTAACTAATGGGTGCAGCATTGAGAAGAGACACCCGCTAGCACACCATGATATGTTATTCCCACCACATAGATACCGTGGATATAAATAACCTCAAAAGATAATAATTGATAAGTGATGTGTTTTAAGTGTTTGCTGCCATTTTAATGGAAGTTATTTAATTGTATGCCGTCATCATTTAATTTTTAATGATGGCTGGGTTTAACAACCAGCTTACAAAATTCCTGAAAATGTGACAATAGCTCCCATGAGCTGTTTTAGCCCTGGTTCATCCCGATCCTTGGCCCTTCTGTGGAGGTACAATGCCTGACTCCACTTGCGTACCAGGACACCCCCTCTTCTGCCTCCCACCCTCAGACACAGCCCATCTAGCCAGGATCCCAGCCTCCAAAAGAGGAGAAACATTAGGGTCCTGGTCACAAGGAGAACTCAGAAGATAATGAGGCTGCTTCAGAGTGATATGCCTAAATCTGGGGAAAGATCCTTCCAATTTTAGGGATCTTAAATTGATTGGATCAGTGAAGGTGACATTAAATAATGGTTAAGAACACCATATAGCCAGGCGCAGTGGCTCACGCCTATAATCTCAGCACTTTGGGAGGCCGAGGTGAGAGGATTGCCTGAGTCCATGGGTTCAAGACCAGCCTGGGCAACTTGGTGAGACCTCATCTCTACAATAAATCAAACAATTAGATTTATTGTATCTAAATAAATGGGCATGATGGTGCGTGCCTGTAGTGCCATTTGATCTTGAGCAAGAAACTCTATCTCTCTGTGCCTCTGTGCCTCCTCGTGTAAATGAGGAAAATAATGACATCTACTTCACAGAATTGTGTAAGTTAAATGAGATAATGGGCTCAAAGCTGTTGGCATGGTGCTTGGCACAGAATGAGTATCTAATCTGTACTGGTCATAACTAGTAGTATTTAATTCACAGTGGCTTTTACACACTTATTTGTTGGCTACATTACTTTTTACATATAGAAAATATGCAGGCCGGGTGCGGTGGCTCAAGCCTATAATCCCAGCATTTTGGGAGGCCAAGGCGAGAGGACTGCCCCAAGCCCACAGGTTCGAGACCAGCCTGGGAAACTTGGCGAGACCTCATCTCTACAATAAATCAAAAAATTAGCTGGGCATGGTAGCACTTACCTGTAGTTCCAGCTACTTGGAAGGCTGGAGGCGGAAGGATCACCGGAGCCCAGCAGGTGGAGACTGCGGTGGCCAGGAGCACCGGTGGCCACTGCACTCCAGCCTGGGCGACGGAGTGAGACTCCAACTCAAAAAAAAAAGAAAGAAAAGAAAATATACAGAGAGAGTGTTTTCATGCTTTGGAGATTCTAAAGGGTTCCATGTACATATTGTGATGGAAGCCATCTGGTGCACCCAGAAGGCAGTCACTGGACGGTTAATAGGGAATGAGACTCTGAGAGGCTGCATGGTGGCCGGGGACACACACCATGAGGCCACCCAGCAAGTGTTCCTGTAGCTGCTCCCAAGTCATCAGTGGCAACTGTGGTTCTGTAAAGCCTTCCAACAGTAAGCATCAGAGAGCTACCACAGAGACAGGAACCTCTTGCCTGGGGGAGTTCTTAGCCGGTTCATTAGACCGAACTATTCTTGTGTTGTTCAGTAAATAAGTATTCATATGTGGCAAAAATGGTCCTCCAAAGTTGGTCATTCCTGCTAATTCAGGAAGCCAGGGACCTAGAAAGTAGGGTTTTCTTCTCCTACACCATTGGTCAGGAGACATTCCCTCAGACGGCATCAAAGAAAACAGGGATGATTTCTCATCTTTCGCCTTTTCCCCAGTAAAGAGGGGTAACAATGACCTGCTCCCTTGAATATGTGAGGAGGAATCAGAATCTGTCCATCTTGTTCTGGAGAGAAGGTTCAAAGCACAGACCTGCCGGGCATGGTGGCTCACACCTGTAATCCCTGCTCTTTGGGAGGCAGAGACAAGAGGCATGCCTGAGCCCAGGGGTTCAGAGACCAGTCTGGGCAACTGCACGAGAACTCATCTCTATAATAAATCAAGAAAAATTAGCCAGACTTGGTGGCGGGTACCTATATTTCCAGCTACTTGGAAGGCTGAAGTTGAAGGATCGCTGTGACCTGGCTGCTGCACTCCAGTCTGGGCGACAGAGTGAGACTGAGACTCTGACTAAAAAAAATAAATAAATAAAAACACACACAGACCTTCCCTTTGTATCAAGGGGGATTTTTACAAGGAGACAGGAATAATCAGATTGACAGAAAGCAAGCTGAATAGCCACTTTGTTCGAGGAGGTATGGACAGCTGTGTCCTGAGGGGGTTACATGTTTTTTGAAAGGCAGTTTGGTGACATTCACCAAAATTACAAATATAAAACCCTTTTAAGCCAGCAGTTCTGCCACTGGAATTACCCCTCAAAGACACAGCCTGAGTGATGTAAGGTTACTCTTTGCACCACTGTTTGTAATAGGGGAAGACTGGAAACCACCTAAGTGTTCATCAGCAGAGACTTCTAATTACAGCACTTCAAAAAAGACAATACCGTGTAGCTGTTAAAAAGAATGTATTTGCCGGGCGCAGTGACTCATGCCTGTAATCCCAGCACTTTGGGAGACAGAGGCGAGAGGATCGCCTGAGCCCAGGGATTCGAGACTAGCCTGGGCAACTTGGCAAGACCTCGTCTCTACAATAAATCAAAAAATTAACCGGGGGTGGTGGCGTGCACCTGTAGTTCCAGCTACTTGGAAGGGTGAGGCGGAAGTATCGCTTGAGCCCAGCAGGTTGAGGCCACAGTGGCCGTGACCATGCTACTGCACTCCAGCCTGGGTGACAGAGTGAGACTCCAACTCAAAAAAAAAAAAAAAAAAAAATACTTGATTTTTTTATGTTACGTGCAATAATTTCTAAGATATATTAAGCACCAAAGCAAAGAGGGGATACATATTTATCTATAAATATATGAACTATTTTTAAAAGGAGGTATAAGAAATTAGAAACAGGAAACCTGGGTAGTTGGGACACAGGAAGACAGAGAGACTTTCTCCTATACAGCCTTTAGGCAATCTTTTCTTTTAAAAAAAAATTTATTTATTATAAAGATGTGAGGTACAATTCAGGGTTACGTATACAAACACTGATCATGCAGGTACCCTTGTGGATGAGGTATGCCCCTCCCTCCCCTAGCAGTTTCCACCAACTGCCAGTCCCACCCCCCTCCCCTGACAGTTTTCCGCTACTGCTAATCGCTCTCTCATAGCATTATAATTGTTCAAGGTCACCTTATGAGTGAGAACATACGGAACTCAGTTCTTTGTTTCTGTGATAAATCACTGAGTTTGATCGACTCCAATCCATCCAATTTGCTGCAAATTTCATATATTTGTCCTTCTTTATGGCTGCATAATATTCCATTGTATATATATATACCACATTTTTCTTATCCAGTCCAGCTTTGAAGGGCAACACGGTTGGCTCCATGTTTTTGCTATTGTGAATAGAGCTGCTACAAACATACGTGTGCAGATAATTTTTTTTTGTAGAATGATTTGAGTTCCTTCCATATGACTCAGCAATTCCCCTATTGGGAATATACCCAGAAGAACTCAAATCATCCTACAAAAAAAAAAAATAGACAATCTTTTGAATGTTACTCCGTTTGATGTTTGTGGTCAGGGGACGCGTGAAAAGAAGGTATTGATGTCTGACAGTTGTGCCTCTCTTGGAGGCTGAGGACAAAGGCTGGGGAGGGAGGACGCTCAGTCTCTTGATCACAGCTGCTCATACTGAGACCTAATTCCTACAGCAACAAGCGGAGGTGGCCCACGTGGCACAGACCCAGGAGGAGAAGCTGGCCGCTGCCCTCAGGGTGGAGCTGCACAACACGTCCTGCCAAGTCCAGAGCCTCCAGGCCGAGACAGAATCCCTGCGGGCCCTGGTGAGTGGGCCCAGGCCGCCCCTGTGTTAATTTTCACTCCCAACTGTCAAACTTGTATCTGTGGGTCCTAGTTGGCAGGGGATCCCTAGGTCACAGCATGTGAGTGTTGAGGCCTGAAATGTCCTCTGATTCCCAAGGATCATGGAGGCTGAAGCACAAGGGCAATGGACACTCTAGTGCCCACCCAAACCTCTCTTACCAGGCTGCACTGTGAATGGAGACGATGGTTGCAACCGCCTTGGAAATGGCTCCCACCATATAGGATCATAATGGGATTTATCTCAGAAGGTTATAAGGATGCTAAATTAGATAATGCATGCCAAGCCCTGAACACGGTGCCTGGCACAGAGTGAGAAGTCAACAAACGTCATAGAGTGAGCAGTCAACAAATGTCATCTATGATTAATTATCATATAAAATTACTATTCCAACCACTAGTACGGTAACCCCAATATCACCAGCCTGGTCACCTCACTTAGACCCCATGGTCCCGTCAGGACAAACAGAAAAAGAATTTGCATCCTCAAGCAGAAGACTTCAGACTGGTGGCATTCCGGCTGTGCTCATGACCAGGACAGCTTCCTCTGTCTCCTGCTGGTACTTGTAGGTCACAGTCTGTCCCTGGGCCTTGCAGCTAAGGCAAGGGGCATAGACGGAGCCAGGATAGGTAACAAACCCTCGTGTCATTTTCAGCTGTGGAAAGCTCATCCACCCCTGCCTGCCATTCTCAGTCAGAGCGACCTGTAAACACACAGCCTCTCAGAGCTTCTGTAAGCTTCAGATGGCCAAGCTGGAGAGACTGTCAGCCCTCTCACCAATAGACACTGGTCGCATTGGAAGCCGGGTACAAATCGTGCATGGTGCTTGAGGCCTACCGAACTCTGTGTTCAGTCATCTCAGATCAAGAATGGGATTCAAGGCCACAAGTCCCAGAAGACCACTAGTTTACTTGCTGGAGGGTTTAGCAATTCAAGAACGTCCCTTCGGATCTCCAGAGACCTGCAGAATAAGTGGCTCCTGTGAGCTCAGTCTGCCTGCTGGTGCCATGCGTTTCACTGAGCGGCCAGAGTTACAAGGCCCGCAAAAATAGCCTGACCATCGTCACTTGCACTCATGTACTGCCAGGACGACAGGCCTCCTTTCTTTCTGCCAGAATGTCAGGGACTTAGGCAGGGAAGCTGGATTTGGACTCTAGGGGTGGGCAGGAAGACACATAGGACCTTTGACAGCGTACCCATAAATGCCCCGCTGGGTTCTAAGGAAAAAAACAAGGACATGTAGAGAACTCACCTAGAAGACAGCAAAAACTATAGTCAGGTGCTCCAACCATGATTCCGTGAAGGGTTTTTCCCAATCTCTGGTGTTGCAGATCCAATGTCAACCACGACTACTCACCAACACAAGCACTTTCTTACATAAACAAAGAGAGAAAACCCAGGGAGCTTGGGAAAAAATGATTCACAAAGTCAAGATGACCATTTTTCTCTATCCTCGCTGCTACAGAGGAGTTTTCAGACCCTACTAGTCAAATAATAGGCCTAGACCAGATACTGATCTTGATCTATTTTCTTTTTCTTTTTTTTTAAGGATCAACTTTTACTTTATTTGTTTAAGGACAAACTTTTAAAAGTAAACTGACCGAAACCATGTGAGATCAAAATACATAGACAGAACTTCAATGTAGAAAAAAAAGACATTACTTGGAAACAGTCGATGAGAAAGACTGGAAAACATTTCACAGATGCACAAAAAGCTCACCTTGTAAACAGGATTAAGCTTCTATTGATTTTGCCCATAGCATCAAGGTTTCATTTTGCTCAGCCTGAGATCTCGCTCAATTTCAAACTGCCTGTGATCCACTCGGTCTAGGAAAGCTTTCCGCTCAATGCACCCCTCTTTCCCTCGATTATGGATGGCCAGTTCTTCGCCAATCCCCTCTTCCTCCTTGAAGCTCTCCCAATCCAATTTGGACTTCTCAAGGATGCTCAACTTCTGCTTCTTGGCACCAATTTTTACCAAAAGGCTGCTCATGCCACTTGATCTTTTTAACCCTGAGCCGGCAGGGAGTGATGGCAGAGCTGAAGGAACATTAGCCTGTGGTTTTTCTTTCTCATTTTGCTTGAAGAAGGATTTGGCTTCTTTAGATGTAGCATCCACTTCCTTTTACCTCTTATAAATGTACCGAGGATGAGATCTAATTCGAAATCCTTATATCCCATGGCATTTAGACTTAAATAAGATAGCATGGTATAGTCATGATTCAAGATGGTGTCATGACTAAGAGTCTTCATTTCAGCCAGTGGTCAAAAGGGTGTGAAAAATCTCATCCTGGAAAGCAAGGTACAGAATCCTGTTTTGTCAAGAATTGACTCAGGCTGGGCTTGGTGGCTCATGCTTATAATCCCAGCACTTTGGGAGGCCTGGGTAAGAGGACTGCCTGAGCCTGTGGGTTCAAGACCAGCCTGAGCAACTTGGAAAGACCTCATCTCTACAATAAATCAAAAATTAGCCAGGCGTGGTGGTGCATGCCTTTAGTTCCAGCTACTTGGGAGGCCGAGGCAGAAGGATCACCTGAGCCCAGCAGGTTGAGGCTGTAGTGGCCGTGAGCTTCTGGGCAACAGAGTGAGACTCCAACTCAAAAAAAAAAAAAAAAAAAAAAGAATTGATTCAACCCAATTTAGAAAGATCTTTTTTTTTATGTGTTATGTAAAAGAGCTGGGCCAGATGCGGTGGCTCATGCCTGTAATCCCAACCCTTTGGGAGGCCGAGGTGGGAGGACTGCTTAAGCCCAGGAGTTCAGGACTAAGCCGGGGCAATATAGTGAAATCTCATCTCTATAAAAAAAATCTAAAAAATTAGCCAGGTGTAAGTGGCTCATGCTGTAGTCCCAGCTACTCAGGCAGCTGAGGCAGAAGGATCACTTGAGGCCAGGCAGTTGAGGCTATAGTGAGACACGATCGTGCTACTGCACTGCAATCTGGGTGCTAAAGTGAGACTCTGACTCAATAATAATAATAATAATAATAAAGCCAGATGTTATATTGTAGGTTAGCCATAACTAAAACTATTAGAAAATGTTAAATACAGATACACACAGTTTTTAAAAGGTGTTTATCGATCAGCTCCACAGTTTTCAGGGCATGGCAAATGGACAAATAAGAAGGTTTTTAGTCTAACGGGGAGACAGGACAACAAGCGTAATTAGAATTCAAGGCCGCTGTCTAGGGCAGCCTATACACCAAGCACTGACTCTGTGCCGGGCCCTGACTTGTGCACTGGGGTCACAGGGACTTGGTTCCTCCCAAGCCTTACCATCTAGTAGAAGAAACATGCCCTGAGCAAGCATCGACCCCATGATAAGTTCAAGGGCATACATGTGCTTGGAGAGCCACGGAAATACAGAGGGGCCCCTACCCCAACCTGGTGGGAGCGGTGGGGATGGAAGAGTTTCAAAGAAGGCTTCCCAAGGGAGGTGACCCCCTGAGCTTGGACTTGGGGATGAGCAGGAGTGATTCGAGCAAGGATGTTGGAAGGAATGGAGGACAGTGCAGGTGAAGGAAGCAGCATGAGCCCAGTAAACTCCAAGCCTAGAAGTGAGGACGCTGTTACAGGTTGGGGGTCATGGGTGCCATGTCGGGGCCCTGGGAACCTATTGATGGGGAAAGCAGAGCCACAAGCCCAGATTTAAGCTTTGGACGCAGCACTGTGGCTATGTGTGGGGGGAACATAGGAAGATGGCAGGGAGGTGGGCTGAGGGGGCTGAGGGTACCTGGATGAGAGATTATCAGTTCCAATCCTGGGCCAGGCTGGCTGGAGCATGTGAAACTTACCAGGCTGTGCAAGAAGCCGGACCCAACACCCAGGGGGCATGATGATGGCACGTGGAGGGAAGGAAGTGGGCGGGGACAGTCTCTCCAGTTCCCAGCTGCATGGTCACCAGCTGAAGCAGGACTAGGAGGACCGACCAGGTCGGGAGGAAGCCTGAGCTCCATTGTGGACACCGGATGTGAGGTCTTGGCATGTACTTCCAATAAGTCTGCAGCTATTGGGGAAAATGTCTGCCCCAGAAGTACTAATACAGAAGTCATCGGCCTAGAGACGGACATTAAGATCATGAGTGTGGTAGAGACCCAGGATGTCCAGCTCAAAGAGAAGGGGCCGAGAATGGGGTGGTAGGGAACCCACAGGAAGGGACGGCAGAGGAGGAGGGGCCGGCCAAGGTGGGCAGCTGAAAAAGGCCAGAGACACCCATCCTAGCCACTGTGACCTGGGGAGGTTTGGAGGGGGCAGCATTCCAGCTGAATGATGGGAGGGGGTTCCAGCAGGACCCCAGGGGAAGGGGAAGGAGCCCGGGGGTGAAGGTATCACAAGAAAACGCCCGAAAACACAATGTCTTTGAAGTAACTTCCGCAAACTTCGCCCCATGCCTCCCTCTTGATCTTCCCACCCCCCCCCCGGCGCCTCCA